CTTTACCTATCATTTGGTATATATTTTATGTAAATCTGACCCTTTATCTGCCTACAGGGGGGGATTTAAAATGACAACTTTGTTTTCACAGTGAAAATGGCTATCAAATGTTATTTTTGTGTGAAAATTCTCGATTTTATTTTTTTAATTTTTAACTCTATAATGCTATAACTTATTGAATAGTGTATCGATCAACACAATTTTTTTATGAGAAATAATTTTTTTTAATAATCCCTTTTTTATTCGACATACTTTATTTTAATCAAGATATTAATAAGAAACTATATAGCTTTTGGAATAATACACCATTTTTTTAAAATTNGAAACTATATAGCTTTTGGAATAATACACCATTTTTTTAAAATTTTACACTATCTAAAGATTTGCGTTTATTTTTGATAGTGATTTTAATCACTGTCAGATATCATTATACTTGATCCAACTATGTCACGTCACCACTGTGCCGCGAACCCCCTGTGCTGGGTTGGGTTTTTATTATTCTGATTTCGATTTTCTGTTATACACCCAAAGAAAAACCTCAATCAATTTTGATAGAGAAATTTTATCAAGGGTTGATGATAATGTTTTGTTAATACGAACAAAATAATAATTCTTATAAATAATTATTGTTCAAGACAAGAAAAAAAATTATCAAATTGATAAATAATAATTTATCGAATTTGGAGTCTTAGTCAATATGAAAATATGTTTTTATAAATATGATACAGGTTTAATTATTGTTGTGAAAAATATTTTTTAAAAAAAAATGGTAGATTTTTAGAATAAGTTACTTGAAAAAATAAAATTGCTGATGTTATTTTTAAATGATTTTATTATAATCGTACATTTTTTTTAATTACACGAGTTAAAAATAGTTTAATACTTCGTAGTATACATGAACAATTTGGTAAGTTACATGTATCAATTTATTTATTATACACTTGAGATTTATTACAGTGTTTTACAACAATATATACTTAAACTTTGTAAATTATTAAAATACGTGATTTCAATGAAATCAATTTAATAAATATAATAAAAATTATGTATTTGTTAAAATAAAAATTGTACTTGCTAGTAACACNAAAAAAGTTGTACTTACTAGTAACAAGGTGACAAGATGTGCACTCGACATTAAAAAAAAATGTAAATGGCCGACGTTTGTCCGCGGAGTGTATCCCTTGAAAATGTTCCAGGAAAATAACATTTGTCTATTAGAAAAAAAAAGAAAAACAAGCGCGAAAAGTTTTGCTTGAAACGCGTGATTGTTTTAAAACGCGGTTAGGCGTTGTACAAATCTGCACGCGCGTCATGGTCTAGACATACCATATGTATTCAATATACTCTCTAAGTGGCAGGTCTATTACCATAAAATATTATAGGAAATTTCCAAGGAATACAATATTACTGTCTTTTAAATAGTATTATCGTTTTATTCGGCGTCGATCAAAATATTTATTAATTAAATTGATTTCATTGAAATCACGTATTTTAATAATTTACAAAGTTTAAGTATATATTGTTGTAAAACACTGTAATAAATCTCAAGTGTATAATAAATAAATTTATACATGTAACTTACCAAACTGATCATGTATACTACTTTCGCCGTGAAGACAAGTTCAGAGGAACATTTTCAAAAGTTATGTTGAAAAAGTAAATTTTTTGTGAAAAAGTTGTCATTTTAANATTCATAAGAATAATCATTTTGTTCATATTAATAAAACATTATCATAAACCCTTGATAAAATTTCTCTATCAAAATTGATTGAGGTTTTTCTTTGGGTGTAGATTAACTATAAATTTACATTATGATTTATACTTAATTTTATTATTTAGTGTTATTATAAAGTAAATCTTGAGTGAAAGTGGGAGTATTAGATCATAAATTGGTTATTTTATGTTGAAGAGATGGAGTTTAAAATGAGTAAAATATTGTAAATTTATTCCACGTGAAGTAGGTGAAGATATGAAAAAGTACATTCAGTGAAAAAAATGATGCTTGAGAAAAAATTCTGGATTTTGCAGTACTGTTGTAAACGGCATTTTTAATGTGTTAACTCTTAATAGTCTTTTAATTTAGATGTTAAGATTATATTATAATGATGTTTTCTGATTTATAAATATTAACCTTGTATTAAGTTATTATTGCTGTAATCTTAAAATATAAAAGAAGACATGACCACGAAATAAATGATCAGTACTCATAGTGAACGTTACATTTCAGTATTTACTTTGACTCTTCCTATTGGTACTCTTCCAAGTGGCTGGAAACGGGCATAGAATACTCTGCTTCACCACAGTACCGTATAATCTTTCTGTGGTTAATATTTATTTTAGAGAGAGGGAAGAACGTTATAGCATTCATATTAATGGGAGTAATAGAGTACATATTGATTAATTTATGTGGAAGAGAAAGAGTTTAAAGCGAGTAAAAGATTGTATAATTATCCTAGGCGAGAGTATAACTACATAAAATAGATTGGTAATGGAGTTGTGTTGTCGTAGGAAGAGGGAATACAAAAAAAGATAGAAGATAGGGGAGAATCCATGATCCGGCGGTAAAAATTGAGATGGGCAAAATAAAATAGTTTTTTAAAGATGATAAAAGAGAAGACAGCGTGGAATATATTTGTAAGTTATGTAATGAATACTACAAAGGAAAATGTTGGTAAGAGTAGGAGTAGAATGTCAGAAACACAAGGAGTTTTAATGGTGGAATAAGGATGTTCAGAAAATAATAGAGTTAGAAAAATCAATTCAAAGTATAGCAGACGAGCTATAAAAGTATAGCCATATGGCTGGGTATGTTGCGGGGTATAGCACTTATACTTTATTCATCTACCCTCACCCAAAGAAAAACCTCAATCAAAATTGAAAGAGAAATTTTATCAAGGGTTTATGATAATGTTTTATTAATACGAACAAAATAACTATTCTTATAAATAATTATTGTTCAAGACAAGAAAAAAAAATATCATATTGATAAATATATCATTGATTCAATAGTAATGATATATTTATCAAATTGAACAATGAATTTATTATATAGATCGAGGTTTTTCTCTGGGTGCTTAATATATTGTGTAATTATAGCAGTTTTAAAATACTTGAAATTTTTTTTTTTTAACTTTATTTTTACGGAAGGGTTATTTTCAAATATTTTTTAAACATTTTCAAATTGATGGGGTCATTTCAAATTTTCGGCGCTATTGGTTCAAAATTAAAAATTAGGTTTTTAACACATTGACCAACAAAATTGGCATAATAGGAATTGTGAATTTTTATGAACAGTCAAAAATATATATATATACAGAATGATTTTTTTATCATAACCCCTCAACTACTTGCAGAATATATATAATTAAATTTTTTTTTTTTTGGTTTTCTTTAGTTACACATTATTCTTGAATTATTAACTATTTAAAACTTTTTATGTTCATCCCTTATGCCTTGCAAGGGTGTCAACTTTGTTTTTTTAAAAAGTAACACATATTTTTAATTTAATAAAATGTTTGGATTTTTAATTCAATAATAAATGGTATTTGAATTTTTATTAGTTTATTAGATATAAACATTTAAAGTTTCAAATGTTTGAGTTAATATACATGTGTAATACACAAGGAATTATAAATACAGATAGCTAATTGGATTTTTATGACATTGCTGTCACAGTCACGGATTGTTTATTATCAATTATGACTATCAATAGATATACTTTCTATATTGTCAGTTAGTGTTTTATAAACTCACAACAATGTGCTTTACTACCACTGATAATAACAATGCTGTGTACCTGCTAATATCGATGTCATAAAAAACCAATTAGCTACCTGTATATGTAATGCCTTGTGTATTATACATGTATATTAACTCAAAAATTTGAAACTTTAAGTGTTTATATATAATAAACAAATAAAGTTATACTAAAAATTCAAATGTCATTTACTATTAAATTAAAAACTCAAACATTTTAATAAATTAAAAATATGTGTTCCCATTAAAAAAAACAAAGTTGACACTTTTACCAGGTNAATTAAAAATATGTGTTACCATTTAAAAAAACAAAGTTGACCCCCTTCCAAGGCATAAGGGATGAACTTAAAAAGTATTACATAGTTAATAATTCAAGAATAATGTGTAACTAAAGATAACAAAAAAAAAAAAAAAATGTTTAAATTATTATTACTCTGTAAGTAATTGAGTGGGTTATGATAAAAAAATCACTCTGTATATCATCATTAAACCAATAACTTTTCAGTTTCGCATCGAAATTAAAATTTTATTTTTAAAAACAAATAATATAAAATATGCTTTTAATTTAGTTTAAATATGCCAAAAATTTTCAAAAAAATAAAATTACAATTATAGTGCAATGATATACTGTTATGCAATTATATTTTTATCAAAAGATTTAAAAATTGCCAGTTATATATTTTTCACCTGGTATACAGTTATTATATTACTTTAATTTATTCAACCTTTATAAAATTAACATTTTTAAAATTCCCGTTAGATTTTCTATTCGTGACTTAGACAACCATATCTTTAGGTTAATTATAAAGAGGATGCAGCATTTCAGGAGCATTTTCAAAACTTAACTTAAAAAAAAAACGGTAGCACAGTGGAGTCGAGGCATAGATGGGACAAGTATAGATGATATCTGACAGTGATTAAAATCACTATCATAAGAAACGCTTCAATGCAAATCTGTAGATAGTGTTTTATTTAGAGAAATTGGTGGATTATTCCAAAAGCAACATCAACTCTTATTTCTTTAATTATATCCTGATTAGTAGTTCTTTGATTTTAAAATATAATATATGAATAAATACTAATTATAGTTTTTAAATTTAGTATGAAATTGTGTGGCCAGCTATGATGTATGGTTCATAGTGTTGGGCGGTTGATAAGAAAGTAGAGCAGAGAATTTGTGTAGCAGAGATGAGAATGTTTAGTTGGATGAGTGGAGTGACTAGAGAAGACAGGATAAGGAACGAGCATATAAGAAGAAGTATAGGTGTTGCGTCAATCGTGGATAAGATGACAGAAAATGGACTTAGATTGTTTAGTCATGTTATGAAGAGAGAAGAATGGGAAGCTGTAAGAACAGTTATAGAAATGAATTTTGAAGCAAGAAGAGGTAGAGGAAGACCAAAAAGAAGATTGAGGGATGTTATTGAATATGACATGAGGACAGCTGATGTGAGCATAAAAGATGAGGGAGATCGTGTCAAGTGGAAGCTTAGGATAAGGGTGGCCGATCCCAAATAGTTGGGATTAAAACAAAGAAAAAAAAAATTCCGGTGGCAATTGACATAATATGATTGTTGTTTGGGAATGTACAATTTAGCATTTAGTTGGGTTTAAACAATATAACGTCAAATCAATTACCTACTCTATCGCTTGTATATTAATATACACTACACTCAATATACAATAAACTCATACATTCACACATACACACATATGCATTTATAACATTGTGTCTAATGTAAGTATAACATGATAAAAAGTAACCGTAAAATGAAAAAAATGGAATATAAATTTTAGTGCTCATATTAAATGTAATGTAACTCGAAAAATATTTGTTTAAATGAAAAAATATACGAAAATTTTTTTGTTTATAATTGTCTTTTAAACAACTTTTGTATGAAACTTTTTTTTGTAAGTTAAATATTTTTTGAGGAAATTAAAAAAGCTCATATTTTTGAACATTTGCGAGGCTGTAAAATAAAAAAACTCAATTCCAAACTTGAGGACTATTAGTATGTCATTATACATATTTTAATTCAACTTTTAAAAATGCAAAATTTGTTTGGAACTTTTTTCCGCAATTTTTCCTTTGTTGACTAGCCTAGATGTCAATTTTGAACTTGTAATTGAGCTAAAAGTTATGGTAATATATTCAATTTATTTTACTATAAACTTTCATAAATCTTTATCAAAAATTTTTCATCAACTTTAAAGAACCAAAAAAATAGGTTAAAATTGAAAATTTGGACTGATTATTTTTAACATATTAAAAATCAAATCAGTAATAATTTGAAAACAAATTTTTTTTTCTTTTAATTATTATTTTATATATATAATTAGTAATAATATAAAAAATTAGAAGTGATAGAAATAGTCTACTTGCAGATTTGAAAACAACGCGAAAATTTGATTTAGAAAAGTATATTTTTGCTTCTGATGAAAGTTCCTTGTAGTCCAGTGCATTTTTTTATAGTAACAAACAGTTTTTATTGAAAATTATTGTATCAAGCCCTTTAAATTTTTATACACGTAAAAGTAAAGCAAAATATAACTTCTTTATTATTTTTATAATTTCTCCGTTTAAATTACAATATTAAATATCAATTTCATACTAAATTTAATAATTATAATTAGTATATATTCATATATTATATTTTAAAATCAAAGAACTACTAATCATGATATAATTAAAGAAATAAGAGTTGATGTTGCTTATGGAACAATCCACCAATTTCCTACTTTAAAAAAAAAAAAATTTGATTGGGAATTTTTTCTGTTTGAGAAAATTTGATGAGAATTAAAACAATGTTATTTTTAAGATTAATATGCAGTCAGAAA